ATTTATACAGTTATCCTTTTATCTTCGTATATCATATTTTCCATTTATAGTCCAGCAGCTAGGCTTTCGAGTCAAGAATCATGTTTCTTTACATTTAACATTGCTTATGTGAATATTTTATAGAATATAAGGGCCCACCAACATTCCATTGATCTTAACAGTCCATATGATAGAATCCATACTGGAAAATGATACTTGTCATTCATCTGTTTTTGTAAACAAGGTATACTTTGTCTGCTAGGTGTACCCCCTCTTGGGACTGTAGCATTTGTGTGCCACACAAAAAAATAGTATTATTGCGGTACAAGCCATTCTGTTGAAATTGTGTGCTTCATAGCACTACGAAGTGCAAAATGGAATGCAGAGCTGGGTACTGCAAATCAAATGATAAATATAGACATTCAAAATAAAAAAAACTAAAAATGTTTATGCTGAAAAGGAGAAAATAACATTGCAAAAGGGAGGTATTGAACCTTGTCACCATACACAAATGTTCGCATGCACCCACCCTATAAGCTGCACAGTAGTCAGAGAGAATGAGGATCAGTATCAGAATCATTAGAGGTAATTTTTTACAGTATGGACAAACTTGCCAGAGACTAAATCCCCAACTCCATGTTTAAATATTTATTCATCAGTCTAAGTTGCCGTGACTGGGTGTGCCCGACTGTCCGAGAGGAGGGTTGATGGTGGCTTTGCCTCGCAGCAACCCCGGTAAACACTGCCTTTACCTCAGTATGCATAGCAAGAGTGGACTAAGGCTGAGAACGGTGCTTTCTGCAATCTTTTTCCTTTATTGTGGTGTTAGTGTTTGTGTTTGCAGATTATTTGTTGTACCTACAACTGCAACTTTTGATCCTGTACAAGAATATCATATTCAGTTTACTCTAACTTAGTGCATCCATACCGTAAAGATTAACCTCATTAGGAATTTTGATATTGTCATGTTGCAAGATTTTAAATCTTTTTAAGTAGTTTCAAGAGTATATAAATGGCTGTTAGTGGATGTGGCTAGGTTTTGCTCTCAGTTAGTAAGTTAATCAAACACTTTTATTTTTATTGTACATTTTAGAGCATGTGTTCTTAATTTCGGGTCCATGGATGGTTTTCAGAAAGTCTGTGAGGATCATGTGACTATTATTACTTGGTGTACAAAAAGGATTGTTTTTTTTCTCTTCTCTTTTTTTAGATTGTTTACTTGAAAGTTTAATAATGCTCTGGTATCTCATATATGTATAAGACAATCAGGTCTCAATAATTATTATACACATAGCAAGTTGCGTTTATGTGAATATTTAGGAATAGCGTGTCCATAGCTGTAATCATATTCTTAAAGGGGTCCATGATACTGGAAAGGTTAAGAGCCATTGTTTTAGAGTGTACTTGTAACCTTTCGCTTTCTCACAATGGTACTTGGATTTTTTCTTTTTTTTTTCTTTTCTTTTCTTTTCTTTTTTTTCAGCATATGGATTAATTGCAAGGAAACCCAATCAGTATTAGTCAGGTGAAGGCATTTTTTTCATATGGTTTAGATTTTTTTTTTTTTTTTTTTCTTTGTATTAATAGAGCACGATGTACTTTCATATGCAAAGTGGTTTTGAATTTACTGATACAGTATTATGACCTATTTCAGAATTTACGTAGGTGAGAGTACCCATACAAAACCATGGCAAGTCATATGGCAAGAGGCATATCCCGGACCCTTGTCACAGTTGCCGCTGTCAAGGCTCGGAGAGGAACTAGGTTTGCAGGGTAAGGAAAGGTTCATTGCAATTACCGTGACTACCTTCTTCATCATTGTTGTTATCTTCCTCATCATCATCATCATCTTCATCTTCATTATTGAAAAAAATAATCTTCATTATCAACAGTAGAATTATTATCTATTGTTTTTAATCACCATCATCTTAGATATCTTGGAGCGACCCTTTGCGCATCGGGTGGAGTCTTGCTCTATGCTGCCTGCTCGCAAAATGTCTCTGCCGCCCAGAAAGTCTCGACCATCGACACTTCGCAGTTCATGGCCGCCCCAGTAACGGATCTGAGCGACCTCGAGAAGAATAAGGAAGACATGAAAGCCAAAATGGAATTGCTGATTATGAGGATTCAGGTAAGTTATAAAGGAAAATGAGACGGAAATGAAACGTTGGATAAGGCCTAAGGTTTGTGACTTTTCGAGCATGGATTCTTACATTGCTTAGGTAGCAAGTAAAAGTACTTGGCATGGTTTTTATGATTTTTGAACTCAGATATTGTGATTTCATCATTCACAGAAATATCAAATATACCCTACTTATAAGGCAAGATTTCTACTATGGCCTAAAATTGTCCCACCATCACATGCAGAGACCTAATCAACCTCTTCTGACGCACAATTTTCAGTCCGAGTTTTGTAAAGCACTTGAGGGAGAGGAGAGCAGTGGAACCAAGTTCACGGTTGATCGCTGGCGCCGCCACAACCCGAGTGAAGGAGGTGGAATAACGTGTGTCATGCAGGATGGCGAGACCTTTGAGAAAGCAGGCGTCAACATCACGGTGATGTCAGCTCCTCTCTCCAAGCAACTGCAGGCAAGCATGAGAGCGAGGTCAGTAAGGCTTGGCAGTTCTTTTGCGCTGTAAGAGTACAAATGTCTTTTTTATTGTCAGCGTTCATTAGTGCTTAGGGTGATTTTTGTGAGTGGATAGATTCTCTTTGTTTGCAATTAAGCTTATTGTTGATACTAATTATTTGTTTTTCACTTTAATGATGTATTAGACTTTAAAATTGGAAGAATGTTATAGTATACATTTTTTGATTGTACAAGCTGTATTTTAGGAAGGAAGAGATATGCAGGTCATGGTCTCATAGGTCAGCTCTGTCTACTCTTGATTTTAGAAATGTTGAGATCCATTTCATGACAATCAGAAAATAGCAGTATATTTCAGTGTCTTTGCATTAACCCAGTAATATAATCTGTTTTATCTTCTTTGCAGTTTAATTTTTATTCAATATTACTGTACTTGGATATATCACTTCTGTTATCCACATTGAGCATGTTTCCTTTCGTCTAAGAATGCGGTGTAATAGGCATGAGAATTTAAACAGATTAGTCCACAAACTATTCACCTGGGAGATCCCCCTACGGTCTTTTACACTAAACTGAAAGCATTGCCCAAGGACACCACCTTCCATCTCATCCTTACAGAGGGAAAGAGTTACCGGACGACAAGCAGTTCACCTTCTTCGCCGCGGGGATCAGCTCGGTCATCCACCCTCGCAACCCCCACGTTCCGACCATCCACTTCAACTACCGGTACTTTGAGATGCAAGATGAAGACGGCAACAACAAGCATGTGAGTTTTGAGACATTTTGCATGGGGTTTGTTGATATCTGAGGGAAGGAATAGTGTCTACTGTGAATCCATGAAAGAGAGTGTCTTCATTGTGTGATGGGTTATGTTTCTTTGAAGAATTTAAGTAATTATTGCTATTGCTGTTCTTGTGATTAGGTTACTTGTTATTACTGATGTTATTGTTGTAGTTATTATTATTATTATTATTGTTCTGATTATTATTGCTATTGTTATTGTTATTATTTTTGTCATTGTTGATATTGTTATTATCATCATTGTTATTACCATAATAATGTTATTATTGATATCATTATTATATATTTTTAATTGTTATTATTATTGTCATTTTTATTATTTATTGATAACCACAACCACCACCAGCTCCGCATAGTATCTCTTGACATAAAGTATTCATAGCTGTCCTCGCAAAATAGTCCCCATATTGTATTTAATAATTGATGAGAAAATACTAAAATGCTCTTTTTATGTGACAAGGAAGTTAAAGGGTTCATACTTTTGATGCAAGCTTCATTCCTCCCCAGTGGTGGTTTGGCGGTGGCACGGACCTCACCCCATACTTCCTGGAGGAGGACGATGTGCGACACTTCCACTCTGTCCTGAAGTCCTCGTGTGACCGACACAACCCTCAGTATTATCCCAAGTACAAGAAATGGTGCGATGATTATTTCTTCATCAAATTCCGGGGTGAGTGGTTGGAGATATAATTGTGTTATTCTAATTTAAAAGATTATTGCTTGGTTCCCCTTTTTGTTGCTGTTGTTGTCGTATTTAGAAATAAAGGTTGAACGAAGAATTACACTCTTGGAAATAAAGATATGAATATGTATTCTGCATTAGGTTTCCAGACTGTTATAAAATTAAAGTGAAAAAAGGTCTAAGTGATTTTTAATAAGCTTTTAATTGCTATCTAACATACTTTTTCCTTCAGGTGAGCGGAGGGGTGTTGGAGGTATCTTCTTTGATGACTTGGAAGCAGAGAAACCAGAGGACATCTTCGGCTTTGTCCAAGACTGTGCCGAATCGGTGGTTCCGTCCTATCTCCCACTCGGTAAGTAGCCGTAGAGGAAAGGAGCCTGTGAGGGTCATATAGATTCCGTTTTAATTGATGTAGAGGAAAATAAAGTGAGTTTGTTATTTTGTGGCAACTTCCTGATGCAGGTGAAATTATGTGGGCAGCAGTTTTTTATATTTGTCTTTGATTGTTCGCCTCTTTTGCAATACAGTGAAGAAGCACAGACAAGACCCAGTGTCGGAGGCTGAGAGACGCTGGCAGCTGCTCCGTAGAGGCAGATATGTGGAATTCAATCTCGTGTACGACCGTGGTACCAAATTTGGATTTGCAACGCCCAATGCCCGGATTGAGAGTATTCTCATGTCTCTTCCCTTACATGCTGTGAGTTAATTTGTTGAACGTCTGTACATTATGAAGGGTAAATTGTTGTATATGAATATATATAACTGACAGTACAAATCAGTGTTGAATATAATTGTTATATGGAGCTTTTTATTTAGATGTGAAATAAAAAACATGTTTTAAAGTCATGATTATGCTTCTGGTTATAGCATTTTCTTTTGTGGAGCAGTAGGAAGACATTTCATCAACTCTAGAAGTGTTTAAGAATAAGAAGGTCATGAGGTTGTTTTAAATTGTGAAATGCAGTCAGATCTGGAAGATCACATATCCAATTCCCCATGAATTAACAGTAACCCCCCCCCCCCCCCCAAAAAGTTAATGAAGATCAATTTTGCTGAATACATTGTATTTGATTTACAGAGATGGGAATACATGCACATACCAGAACCCGATTCCAGAGAAGCAAAACTCACGGAGGTCTTGAAGAATCCTAAGGACTGGGTTTAGGATATTAGCCTTTGTAGAAACACTGTGTGAACAAAGTAGGGTATCAATAGAGCTATAACTAAATGGGTTTTGGAAAGATGATTAAATGTGTTATATGTTCCGGTGAAAATTTGAAGAATGAGTGTACTAGTGTAATATAATTATTTTAGTGGTGTCTGTCTCTTTGTGTTGAGAAATTAGGAGTGTCGGTAATTTTCTTTGGAAAGTGTTTGTAGAGAAAATGCTCATACAGTAGCGACTCCAGATATTGATGTTAGGGTTTTTTTTGTTCGTAAATGAAATGTGTAAAGTTATGTATCATGAAACTTGATCTCTGTAGAAGTATTGTTGTATTAAATTGTTGATATTTATTTGGTATATTTGATAGAACTAAGGTATATTACCCACACCAGCTGCAAAAGTGTTCATATGCCTAGATTGCTGCATAAGAGAAGCAGACTTATTTATTTTATTTTCTTTACATATAGCAAACTATCTAGATTATAAAAAGGTGCAAAGATTTTCACAGAATGATTGCAGATACTGCATTGTGAGGTCACCTTATACTTTTATATGTCTAAAGAAAGTATAATTTATAATTGTAAGGCAAGGAACAAGGCATATTCAGTGCTTTGTATTGCAAGGCAGAGGATTGAAAATAATGTAATTTAAGTACTTAAAACTTTACAGCATACTACTTAACTTTTTTATTCAATTTTTCTCAGTATTATAAGCACAACTAACAATGCATTATGAAGTCCTCCATCTTTGTTTGTGTGAAATATCATAAGCTGGAGGTGTATGTTTTTGCACAAAGTGACATTTTAGTGGTAAAATAAAATATGGTTGTGTGGAGTATTATTACAGTCTTTATATATTTTGCGAATAATGTTTATTTCAAACAAAAAATACCAAATAATGTGTGTCCATACAAATTGATGAAATATAGCTACAATGATTATCGAGTAATAGTGTTGTTTCAGATCGATTTAGATTTTTCTGTGTAATATAAAAAGTTATTTATGTATTATCAGAAGACGAATCTAGGTAGATGCAATGAAGTGTAAACTCTTATTATCATTCTCTCTGCTCCTATATTTCAGTTTCCTCGGTTAATCACGAAATACGGGAAATCCTCTGTTTAGTCTGTTGCCTTTTTCTAGAGTATAAGGTATGGTGCAATGCTGGAACACTGTTAGTTAATCCGGATGGCAGATTTTATGAATGAGTTGGATTTCTATCAAAACAATGAATGTGAGCAAAGAAAACTGCTGAAACTGGTAGTCTATAATACCCCAGAATTGCCTTAAACTAAAAAAAAATAAAGAAAATAAACTAATCCAATGGTGCTCTCATATGTTAAATGATTAAATGTGTGATTTTGAACATTAACCATGACAGGGAACAGTCTATGTGAATACTGTAACATATTAGGTGTCATTATGTTCATTCCATATATAAAGTGAGTAAGGGAAATATTTGGAACAAATTCTCTCTATGTATGGCTTTCAGGCTGAAGTAAAGATTATTATTGTTGTTATTATTATTATTATTATTATTTTATAGTGAATTGTATTGTTAAAGTATAACTAACAACTGGTTTGTACATGTGAATTTACTGTTTTTCACCTTCTATTCATTAATGATCACTTGAATATGGATAAGATTATTTAGGAGTATAACTTAACTATGAAATGTTCCAAGTTGGTGTATCTCTTTTAGCAGGTGGTTTGAAGATCACAAAGAATATTATAAACTTGAATCTACTTATCCCAAGGTTTGATTTAAGTCGAGTGAAATTGCTGGTAGCCTTTGAGAAAATAAAAGATTCAAAACCTAATTTGGAATATGTAAATTGTAGAATATGGACCTTGTACAGAGAGCAGAGTTACTGGCCATTATACAACAATTTTAAAGAATTAAGGAAACAGATCCCGGTGATATAGATAATCAAAGTCTAAAACCTATTAAAAGATGATGGTAACTATTATGTATCTCTTTCTCCAGATGCACAAAGTACTTTAAATGTAATTTTGAGTCATATTCCAGATTCTCAATCAATTGATAATTATTTTATGGTGTTTAAGGTAGTGTTTTAGAAAATGAAATATACCATCAGTTTGCAGTGCTTTACGATGTTTCACTGAGTAATTCCTAAGTAAATGTTATCTACTTTTATATACAAAAGGACAATACTAAAAATTTCCATTCCTCGCTCTTCCTCTCCTTGAAATGGTAAAAGCAATAAGGAATTCCAGATGTTTGAAGAAGTTAATGAATGGGTTGTCTTGAGTAATTTTTTTCAC